CAGTAAAGAAGTATTTGTACTTAGTTACTTTATAACTCTGGCAGGAGTGCACTTCTGAAATGAAGACAGGCCAACATTGTAAATAAGAAACTGTTCTTAATGTTTTACTTGTTGAAATAAAGGTTAAATAAAAATAAATAAAAGACGAGCAGAACTGGACCAGCTTTTCAAAAACTACAAGGGGTGTAACAAAAAAATGGTTTTAAATCGGAATCGTGACTCATTTACAACGATTCAGAATCAATTTAAAATGTCTTAAAATCGATTAATATTATATCCAAAGCTTGTCGATCTCCATTTTGAAACCATTTGCGACGTCCTGGCGTCACATGCAGCAGGTTCTGGAACATATGAATGTGCAGAAAGCACCAAAATAAAGAGGAAACTACAGAATTGGAGGAAAGAGATTCAACTGACCCCGTCTTCATTGAATGCAAAGATTTGGGCTCATTTTGTTTTTTACTGAATGAGTTTGACATGAGCTTCACTGTGAGCAAAATTTACAAAACGAGGATGAAGCACTTTAGGAACACGACAAATGGGCTCACATTGAGTTCTGAATGAAAAAAATCTATTTTGAATTGAATCGTGAGAGAGTAAAAGAKTCCCACCTCTAATAACTACTAATGTTTCCTGTCAAAGAAGAGCTCCACACACCTGTAACGACTGTAAAAACACACGAGACATACTGGACACCCTCATTCTCCAAACAGATGCAGTGAGAAAACAAAGCAAACCTGTACCTTACTGAGCAGAGGAGCAGCCGGTGTCTCCACAGCCTCCTCAGCAGCAGGGAGCTGACTCTGGAGCTGAGTCTGGAGCCGACTCTGGAGCTGACTCTGGAGCTGACTCTGGAGCTGACTCTGGAGCTGACTCTGGAGCTGAGCGACCTGCGCTCTGCTTTGGTTGAACTGGACTCTGAGGTGACCGTTCTGAACTCTCGTCTGCTCCAGCTGGGTTTGGAGCAGACGGGCTTGGCTGCGGGTGTGATCCAGCTCAGCGTGAGCTTGGTCCAGCTGGGTTTTAATCTGGTTGTAACGCGTCGTGGCTTCCTCTAGCTGGGTCTGGCTCTGCTGCAGCTGAACGGTGAGCTGCTCCTGGGAGGAGCGCATGGTGGAGGAGATCTGCTCCGACACTTTGAGGAGCTGACCTCGAGTCTGCTGCAGAGACTCCAGCTGTTAGCAACAAGACAACAGAGGAATTAAAGCCTTTTCAAAATAAAATTCCTTTAACAAATCTTTTTTTATGTCGTGTTTTGGTCAAACCTTAAAAGAGATCCGTGTAATTTCACATAACACTGTCAGATCTGTTAGGAGTTGGTGCTGAGGATGACTCAGTCACAAACTTTAGCTCATTATCATTTGACTGAGAGTCATTTTTGTGTTTGCTAAGGTCAGTCAGCTGTCAGTCAGGATTAATAACATTTATCTGCTGGTTTAAGATAATCTGATAATAGACTTACAGAGCTGATTAACAGTTAATGTCAAAAGTTTAAGCAAATATACTGTGCAACATGCAGTGCTTAAAGTATTTATAAGAATGACTCGGTTACAACAACAACAACATTTGTTTTTGTTAAGGTTGTCTAATAAAAACCCTCCATGAAGAGGACTGAATTCAAGTAATAATCAGTTGTAGATGGACACCCATGATGATTTCCTGAAAGTTTCATTATTATACAAACATCCATCCATTATACATTGATATATATTACTGGATTGGGCGTCACGTGACCTGGGCGCGCTTCGCAGGGGGGAATTTTATGCATTGAGCTAATGCTAACTAGGGCTGTCACGGTTAATCGATGACTAATCGATTATTAAAATAATTGATGACTAGTTTAATAA